CTGCTCCCCCTGCTCTCAGTCACAGGTGCTTCTCCTCTCCCCGCTGCTGTCCTCGCCCAGCCCATGGGGCGCTTTCTCTGCATCCTCACCTGAGGATATTTGCCAGGTGAGGATTTTTAGAGAGTGGAAGGGAGGGAAAGAGAGAGAAACATCCACGTGAGAGGCACATCTATTGGCGGCCTCCTGCACACACCCTGAGCAGGGCCCCGGCCAGGAAGGAGCCTGCAACCGAAGTCCATGCCCTTGACCGGAATCGAACCCGGGACCCTTCAGTCCACAGTCTGATGCTCTGTCCACTGAGCCAAACCGGCCAGGGCCAAATGGTGGCTCTTTTTAACAAAAGCCGGTCAGCTGCCCAGGAGTGGCCGTGGTTACGGGGCCGAGACTTTATAGCAAACTCCGGAGAAGCGGGGCCTCTGACCCCCGGGGTGTGGATGGAGGGCTGGCTGCTCTCTCCTCGTTTCTGGATCTCCATTGGCGAGGGGTCCCCCCTGTTCCCAAGGTGAACGGAGGCTGCCCCAGAGCTGGACCAGAGCGTGGGGGCCCAGCGAAGTGTGGGGAGGATTAAGCAGGACCTGGGAGGGGACAGAGGGCGGCCTCCCAGTGACCAGGGGCTGGGCGGCAGGAGCCCCGGCTGCGTGGAGCTGGCACCCTGTGTGCCCTGCCCTTCAGTCCTCGCCCAGCTGCCCCGAAGCCCTAGCCCTGCCCCCACTCCCCCGCTCAGTCTCTAGAGGAGCCCAGTGTTGTCCCCCCCACCCCAAGCTGCTTCCCCTGGAGGGCGGGAGCCGAGCAGCTGGCTCCCTAAGAAACCTCAGACCTCAGCGTCTCCGCCCCCTCTTCTCAGATGACTGTCCCCCCCCTACGGGATTCATTTCACTGGACTCTCAGCCGCCGAGGAAAGTCAGCGGAGGAGGCTACAGGGGGACGCGGAACGTCCTTCTGTCCAGGGGGAGGATGCATTCGGGGCCTGGGTGGGGACTGTGGCATTGGAGAGGGGAGGGCAGGGCGGGGGGCGAAGCCGTGCTGGACAGCCGTGCTGGCCCTGGGAGAGCGAGGCCGCCGGCGCCCGGCTACCTGGCTGCACCTACCCTCTTGCCCGTCTCCCCGCGAGAGGAGGCAGGACTGTGGACCAGGTGTGCCCCCCGGGTCGTCAGACACCAGGTGTGCCCCCCGGGGGCGTTGCATCCCGAGGGAGGGAGTTTCGTCAGGTCAGAGGCATTTCCGAGCGGCTTCGCTGTGTTTGCTCTGGACGAGGCGAAAGGCAGCTCACAGGAGGCCGGGTCCTGCCCGAGGTGCTGGTTGGGAGGCCGTGTGCTCGCCCTTCCAGGACCTGGGAGGGGCCCAAGCATGTTCCCCAGAGCCGTGGTCTGTGCAAGGAGCAGGCGCGGGGGAGGCTCGTGAGTCCCTGGGCGACGCTGGGACGGGTCAGAGCCCGGGCCGCAGGGAAGGGTGTTCTGGGCGCAGGGGACCAGCGGGGCAGGCGGCTTTGGAGAACAACACAGCGCAGTGCGTTTCAATGCGGAGACCAGGGCGCACACAGCGCCTGCG